TACCGGCCCAGCTGCCCGCCCGGTTCGTTCATACCTGCCTGCCTCCCGCGAAGGTGCTTCAGATGCAACAGCGCAGAAACAATGTGAAATTTAGTTTAATTTTCAGTTATCTTATTGCCAGTACTCTAGGGCAGTGAGTTGTTAATGTTGGAAGGAAATTTGTTTCACTAAACACTTGAATTAATACTTGAATTCTTGTCTGTTTAGCACATATTGAGACATGAAACTCTGTTTTCACATACACATGTGATACGGGAAAATACCTGGCTCCTGTTTTCTGACAAACCATTTTGTTTATAAATTACCACTCAATTTTTTGGTGTGTTTAAAAAAAAGTCTGAATTATTCCTTGACAAAAGTAACTTACAAAGATTAATTTCTTGGTGTTGGGTTGATGGTTGGACTGATGATCTTAGAAGTCCTTTGTAACCTTAATGATTCTTAGTTTTACTTTCATTATAAATAATCCAGCCACCAAGCCAGGAAACGTGAAATTGCTACTCTACCCTTAATTGGTTTAGTGGTGGACTTGGTAGTGTTAGGTTAATGGTTGGACTGGATGATCTTAAAGGTCTTTTCCAACCTAAACAATTCAATGATTCTACTAACCAGCTTAGAGTAAAATGATTTTAAAATGTGTATATTTTATATTAAACTTGCTTCTTATCACTGATGCTTATCTCTCTGTGCAGGTACACGGGCCCCCTGTTGGAGGAGGAAGCCCTGAACAAAGCAGCAGAAAATGGATTGTCTTCACCAGAATTTTTTGAGCTTTGCGTTTGGTTGGGTTCCCAAATAAAGTCACTTTGTAATATGGAAGAAAGCATCACTTCAACAGATGGTATACGAATTTTAATTTGTTAAAGCAATTTAGTATTTGTTCAGTGGATTTAGACCCAGCTAATAGTGAAATTACAGTGTTGAAGTTTAGAAGATAGCTGAAAGGTAGCCAGACTGAGGCTGATATTTGCATGTGTGTTGCTCTTAGGTTAAGGTCTTGTCTTGTGAAGATTCTTTCAAAAGAAAAAGAAAAGGTGCTTTGGGGTTTTTTTAGATCTACATAAATATAAAAAGTACATTCATAAATCATGTGAGTGGTTGTTATGTGTAATCATATTTTGATGGCTTAAATTCCAGTGCCTGGCATTTTCAGCTAGTTGGCCCAGTGCAGTGTTCCGTTCAGCACTGTGTGTAGATATGTGAGTTGCTCAGCACTACCTGATTCTTTCTGTTGAGTGCTGGAACTTGGACGGCATTTTATATTGTTTATGTTTTCACAAAAGAGTAGTAAAACTAAAAACAGCCACTGAAAATAATGGGCTTGTGACTCTTGTAACTTGTTCATCAGAAAATTAATTACATTGATACACTGTTTTGTGACATAAGCTGTTCACTTCCTAGTGATGTTCATTTGCATTCATGTCTTCAAAGACTGCTGTAGCATCACCTTCTCATCCAAAGCATGAGTACAATTTTGCTGTAGCTGTTAAAAGGCTTGTCTGCTTGTATGTTATCTTTCTTTAAGAAGAAAGAAAATGTTGTTACGGTGGTAAGTAGTAAATCTTTGTCTGGGCTATTGAAACCGGCAATTTAAATCTATAAGTTAAGAAAATGCGATTACAGTTTGATGTTTCTGTAAAAAGCCATTAGCTTTGTATTTATTTATTCCCATAGGTGGTAAAGATATAGAGAGCTTCCAGCTTGAGATTAGTGGCTTTCTGAGAGAAATGGCTTGTCCATATTCATCACTTATATCTGGAGACATCAAGGATAGATTAAGAGAGAAAGAAGATTGTCTTAAACTTCTCTGTAAGTTATAACCATTTTTTTCCATTTACAATACAGTGTTTTATGTGCATGCTTTATCCTTATTGTACAATTTACATTAAATAGTTCTTTATGTGTATTTAAGTATGTGTGTACAATCATTACAACCTAGCTGAGCATGCATCAGCTTGCTTGTGCAGAAGTGGAAAATAGAAATTAGAAAACTATTCTAGTAGTAACTAAAATTTCTTTGTGATGTATGGTTCAACCTACTGAGGCCTCCTGATCCCTCTCTTGATTCAGTTCCAGCTCAGCTGAAACTGAGACCTTGCTTCCAGTGTTTCTGAGAGGTTTCTGGGCAGCTTAAAAGAAAATGCTGTGTGATTTGAAAGTGCTGAAAGCAGAATTGAGAGAAGCAAAGTCTAGATTTAAGCTGGACTTGGACAAAGGAGTAGCAGCAGGAACCAGTGTGAAAATACGAAACTAGCCAAGGAACTAGGGGTCTGGTGGCGGAATTGGGTTAAGCAGTTAAATACAATGTGTAGGCTGAAGGTAGGAAGTTATGTGAGAGTTGGTTCAGATAAAGAATGGGAAACTGATACTGACCTGTCCAGGAGAGAACTGAGAAAGAGTCTCCCTTTTTATCATGGTCTTATTATAAATGTGTATATTGTATATGAGAATGTGGATGCAGAAATATTCAAGTGTCTCTAAAACTGCCATTATGACATTTTTCTCTCTAGTATTTCTAAGTACAGAACTTCAGGCTTTAAAGATACTGCACAGCAAGCAAATGAAAGGCTCTCATTTGGAAAAGCACAATGAAATTTATCAGGAAGTGCAAGCTATTTGCGATGCACTGGGCCTGCCAAACTCCTCGTCTTCTGATATTCCTCCCTTGTTAACCAATGTGGAACAAAAGGTATGGGCTTTTATGTGTTCTCTCTATTGTTAAACTGTAAGTGTTATCTCTGTAAGCATTCATCTCAGAGTTAAGGGCCCAGCAGTCTAATCCATAAAAGCCCTATCTGACAAGCGCAAAGGAATTTTTATTCTGAAAGCCAGCTTAGTGTTTAAATTAAACTGGTTTAGTTATGAGGTGAAGTATTTCAGCATTTCCCTGAGGATGCGATGTACCTGATCAGGCATGCTTTGCCATGCAAATTTAAGGTATGAGTTGAAGTAACATAGTTTTCCTGTTATCCATTCAAATGTGCTGCAGCAAGCAGAAAACTTTGGGTAATAAATGGTTGCGCATTTATGTACCTGTAGTAATTTCTGGGATGTACTTAAATTAAATATCCAAAAGTTAAATTTTTGCTTTTTCATTTATGAATTTCTTAAATTGCGAGTATTGATTTGTTAGTGATGTTTCCTTTGTTGCAGAAGAGGATGAAAATGCCTGAATTACCAATAGCTGGTGAATAAGCCAACTTAAACCTTATTCAACAGGGTAGATTTTTCAGTTGTGTCCCATCAGTTTCTAAATTGTTTCACTGATGTGATCCTTAATCTGACTTCCTCACTGCAGAATGTAAATAGGCTCTTGGGGTGGAATTTATCTTCTCTGTCAGGCAGCTAAAAGTTTTGCTCTTTATTTCTCCCCAGTATTTGGGGAGAGAGTGGGTGACCAATCCCCTTTAAGAATTATGTGAGAGACACATGGAATGAATCTCCCTCTGCTGCTGAGTCTTTGAGTTTAATAATTTGACATGATTATGCTGCTTCTTTTCTTGCTTCTCCGCCTCTTCTCATCAGCCAGCGGGCAGTTGAACATTCGGAGGGTTTGGGGAGAGGGCCTGTTACTTGCTTGGCTTTCTTACATCTGTATGTCTTTAGTGTGACAAGGCAAAACCTTTAGTAGATTCATTTATAAAAAGCAGCATCCAGGTGACAGTGAAAATGCCTATTCCTGCACTATCAACTGTGCTTGATCTAGTTAGTTCTAATGAAATCTTTATATCCAGTCTTTCCATTAAATATTTTTGAAAGGATGAAGAAACAATTCTAGCACTGTTTTCTGAGGATTAAAATATCAGAGTTCCAGCTAATAACTAATTGATTGAAACTTGCCTAGTACTGTTGATCTCCCTCTGTGGGTGTTAACTGTGTTTACATCCATGTTGGTTTGTAGGCTGCAGCCATGGGCAGTGACCTTCCTTGCTTCACTTCTTGGGTACAGATTTAGTTTCATCCCATGTTAAAGGGGTAGGACTCTAGTTCTGCAGTTGCAGCACAGCAAGACCAGAACTGGTGGGCCAGTTCCTTCATGCACACATAGAGAGTCTAGAAAGTTTTCTATGAATTATTAGACTCCTGGTATGCCACCTTTTGCAAAGCCCAAGATTTCCTTTCAGATAGGATCACAAGCTTGGGTTGGTGTGTAGGGTGTTACTGTTCCAGTTTATGTAAACTGTTACAGTTTCATAAGTACTAAAATAAGCAGAATCTTTAAAGCGTGTTATCTTTTTTTTTTTTTTAAATAATACTGCCTGAGCTATTTTCTATTTTGCGATGGTTTTCAGGTCTGTCAGTTCCACAGTGGTTATACCATGTGCACTCCAGAGTGTGGAAGGATGGCAAAACTAGTTCATTCATGTTCTGTGACTCCAAATTAATACTGTAATTTGTTCTCCGCATGTTTTATCCCTTACAAAGAAAGGATTTTTTTCCTACCTCTCAGGAGATTTTGTAGAATTTCTGCTATATGTTTCCTTGTCCTTCATCTCTTACTTTAATACAGGACAGATTCAGAGTTATTTTGATACAGTACAGAGTTAAACACCTACATTTGTAGATGTAGCTGTGTTAGAGTGGTGATACCACCAATTGGAATTTGTTGGCTTTGTAAACATTTTTTTCAAAGTACTTCTTTTAGATTCTCGCAGAAATTCACTTGAAATGATTAATTTCTTTTTCCAAATATTTTGTTGCTTCTGATTTAATTAGGTTCTGTGTAAAATTGCACTGTTGATTTTTAGTATTATACTATATCATTTGTAATACAATCTTACGTACTAATCTAGTATTTTTACTGAATTTACAAATGTATCTGCAGCATTTCAACATGTTTACTCTTTGTCTCTGTCTAGCATCTTCAGCATTGTCAGTAGCTGTGGGAATAGTTCTGAGAATAGTTTGGCTGTGCAGCAGCAATCTACCAAAGGGACAGATCACACATTGTATTTTGGTATGGAATGTTAGAACATTGATTTTTTTTTTTAATAATTTGTCAGTTTATTTAAAAGACTAGTATAAAATCAGGATTGCTTTCTTCATTCAGACTATGAGTTTTACAGTAGCTCAAACTTTGAATATGCAGTCATAGGAAGTACCTTTTAAAGTTGCATCTCCTGTAATAAACTGGGGTAGTGGTTATCAACATACGTAAGAAAATGTGGGAGATGAATTGACACTATTATAGCCTTCCAACACTAAATATATTTTATTTTATTCTATAGCACTGAAAAACTAATAGTAATTTTTTAGGTGTGTTTTTTAAGATGCTCTTCCCTCATGAAGTATATTTGCAAAGGGTAACTCTGGGAGGCATTCTGAAATTAGTACCAAAAACCCCATAAATTCTAAACGAACATTGATCAGAGATTCAGAAAAGTTTATGCCGGTGTTGTGCTTTGTAACTCATCCTCACATCTGGCTTTTTTCCAGTCAAGATAGTGTGAATTTCACACCTAATTACAAAGTGACATTCTAATACTGTTTATTTGGAAGACTTCTTAATACGATATTGTTTAAAAGACTTCTAAATTTTTTTTGCCCACATTATTTGTTTTCTACTGTGTGAAAGTAGTCCCGTAATAGTAGAGGATGAAAAGAAAATATAAAGGGTTACCAAAGAAATTAAATCAAAACTAAGCTAAAATAACATCTAAGTGGAGTATGAGGAGAATATATTTAAAAATATTTGGCAATGCTTCCTAGAATTTATTCATATTTAAATTAGTGTGTTACTTTTAACTGTTAGCATTTAATAATTTTACAGACATAGGGGTGCCTGTACAGTAAGTATCAATGTAGTTGCGGGAAACAAGATGTAAGAGTAGTCCTGTTCACCAGACATAAAGGTCAAACAAAAATGTCTTTAAAGTTAGATAAATATTGAAATTAAAATGATCTGCAGGTAAATGGAAGAGAGGCAGAGGACAGGTTAAAAATACTCCGTGCTTAACATTTTAGGTGATCTTTCTGCAATTGTGCAGTACACCTTATGACTAACTAAGACAATGTTCCTTCCTTAAAGTGTTGATAGTTTTAACTTAGATTAATAAAATGACAGCTCTCTCCAGGTCAGGTTTTTTCAGAATCTTAGAAACCCTGGAGGTGCATGCATATATGATGTTTATCTGTGCAAATGGTGTTAAACATAAAAATTATTGCTCTATTTTAACAGAGGGTAAAGATAATTAATAAATATATGGAACATGGTAGTGAAATCTGAGCTAAATTTTTTTTTAAAGGAGTATAGACTTAACAGATGAGAAATGTCATGTTCAACACATAAAGATATGCTTTGTTTGGTAACAGTAGAATAACTATATTTTTATACAACAGATTTCAAAGTCAATATTTTTGTCTCAAACAAATCCAATAACTGATTTGTTTTTAAACTGTTTTTAGAGGGTGTGTGAACTTCCAAAGCAATCTCATAAAGATTTAATGTTACCAAAGTCACCGATTACACGGTATGTCTGATAGTCAAATGCATTCGTCTCCATCTAGCTTTTAATTAATTGGCTTGGTTTTTACAGCTGAGTGAGAACTTTAGGATGATTTGGCTGTTACAGTTTGTTTTACATTTCTATGAATATATTTTCACTGCTTTTTTATCTGGGCACTGCTTTTGGTATTGTTCCCACTTACACATACAGACTTCTTTCTGGGTTGTGGTGGTGGTTTTTTTAAACTCCGATTTACCCTTCTTAATCTAGGGCAACTGTGGTGTTCTGCAATGTGGGTTATAGTGTAGCTTCTCATATCAGTTGTATGCTTGTCCTCTGGCAGACAGGTGTATGTCAAAGCTCTTGGGCTCTTAGCCCTGTCATCAGTCAAGGCCAGGTGATGTATTCTGCAACTGTTTACTTCACCATTATAGTTGTAGGATATGTCCTAAGAGTCCTGCTGGTGGGAGTGAGGGAGTAAAGTGGAGATTCAGTAATCTGGGTGTGACGTTACAGTGTGTTGCAAACATGAATGTAGACCAGTTCATTAGTGAAAAGATTCCTCCTTAAATGTTACTTGATTAATAAACCTGTCACTGGATAAAATTGCATAGGTATTCTCTTTAACTTGGAAAGGAAAGGTTGCAGAAATTTGGGGGCAGTTTCCCAGTCAATAAAGGATTGTTTTACTTAGCTGCTCTTGTTTCTTCTGGTTCTAATTTTCACTGATTCTCTTCTTTAATTGTTCTCTCTGAACTTCCTTTCATTTTTCAGTTTATGGCAATCAGGAGTATGCAGTGCTGGGTTAGGTCTTTTAATTGTGATTGACTTGTGATGGCAGAATGTATGGTTTTTGTATGTGGGCCACAGTGTTGTGTTTACCTCTTAGCTGCCCTTGCAGCTGCAAACTTGCAGTAATTCTAATCTCTAGGTAGTATTCAGCATCACTCGTTTCCAGATTTTCTTTCACTCTATAGCTATACAGTACACTGAGGATTTGTTTTGGTTTTGTTGCGTTGTTTTTTTCCAGCAGCCACTCATTTTGATAGGCTCTCTTCCTTTCAACTCATTAGAACCTTTGAGGTTGTATTTCTGACCTTAATGGTATATAGATAGACACCTCTTGCCTAATGGAATTTTTAATTCATCTACCGTTTATTCCTTCTTCTATACTAATTACTGATTTCTTCATCTCTTGCTGTCATGCTGATCTTAGTATATTGTTGATTATTAACTTTAGGTTTTGACATTTGTTTAAACTTGAGTGTAGTTTGTGGTTACGTACATTTGAATTTTGAAGTAGATTATGAGAGACATCATGTGCATGCTTCACTAACATCAAAACAAGTTGGCTACATTTAGAAAACAGACAAATCGGACAACCCCATGAGGGCTTTTTGTAAAGAAAATAAAGACTGCAAAGAAGCAAGAATTAGCAGAGAAAGAGGAGTGTAGGGATAAGTAGGGTACATGGGACTGAACTTCACCCCTTATTGTAACCTATTTTTTTATATGGATGGAATATAATAGCAGGGAATATTACAGTAACTAGACGGCCACTTTTCAGATACTACTAGTCAGTCTTTTCTGCTGGAGTCAAAACACTGTTTTCCTATAATTTGCTCACTGCACAATATTTTTTACTTCAGACTTTCGCTGGGGTTATTGTGTTTTTAATTTGCCACGGTGCTGCCCAAAAGTGATGTAAAAAGAAAAAATACACACCTTGGTTTTCACACAGAATTTGAGATCAGATTCTTTCCTTGATATATGCAAAAAAAGGAAAAGGAGATAATTACAAAAACACTGAAATATGAGAGTTGATTTGTCAAGTATTCCTTCTCGAGTAGCTTTCTTTAATCAATTAACTAGGTGCTCTAGAATTTGATTTCTGTCTCCTAGAGTTTTTTTTTATAGTGATCACTGGAGATGATATTTCTGTAATATGTAGAGCTCAAAACTCTGACAAGATGAACTAAGATAATACTGGTAGAGTGAGCTTTGAACCATACCTTTATGATAAATTTAATGTAAATGCCTGTGTGCCTACACGAAGTGTTATAAGCCTTGCAAATGTACCTAATGGCTGTTCTCAGCTACAGCTTTTACCGTAGATCATGCACTACCTTAATTCTTCCTTGTGAAATGTAAAAGAAAATTAACTCTAGTTTTAGTCTTGTTTGACTTGGTTCCCTGTAATTATTTACAAAAGCAAATGAAGATGTAGTTCTCCCCATCAGACTGCATGCAAAACATGCAGGAACTATGCATGCAGTCTACTCCAGCTGAAAAATCACTTGTCTGGAAAGTTATGTACGAGTGTTGTGGGCGTTCATGGCAATGGTTTTAAAAGAGCTGTGCCAAAGGAAGTTCCTTCAAGAAGAGGACGTAGAGGTTTCTTGTAATGAGAAAGGAGAATGCAGTGGAGTTTGGAAGGCAGAAAGAGAGAGCATACTTCATCCCCGATTATTGAGGGCAGAAACTAACAGAAGAAGTATAAGCTAGGCTGACTTGGAGCAAATGCAAGTGTCTTAAACATAATGTTAAATGGAGCCAATTATAAGATTAGAAGAAAATTAATGAGAGAGAATGACCGCATACCTGTCGTATCTTCTGCCTGTCTTACTAGCACCCATCACCAGATTTTTGTACCTAAGTCTAGCATTTGGCAACAGAACTCCTAGCTTCTGATTGTTACGTTTCCTTAGTTGTAGTTACAACACTTAGTAATAAGTGAAATCAGTAATTTAACTAGTTCTGCTGCCTGTATGCAATTGATAAATTTGCCATATAGATATTGTTCTATTATATTTGGGAGGAGGAGTGGTGTGCCGTTAAATACTCTTGTACAGAGGTTGGTCAGTGTAGTGAAAGTATTCAGGAAATCTTTTTGTAATGGATGATAAGCCAGAAGTGTACCTGTTTCTTTGAGTCTGCTAAAACAAATGTGCTATATTTGATCTTACGAGTAGCAAATTGTGATTGCAGCAACTTGTGCTGAAATAAATGTAAATATCAGTTGTGTTCTGAGAAGAAGTATGTGTTTCATTTCAGATAAAGGACGTTCTCTCAAAAGTTCAAAATAACCACGTGGGGAAGTCACTGCTAACAAAACCTCTGAATTCTGACCAAGTGGTAAAAAAAGTCTCTCATTTCTTTTCTTTATTTAACAGAATGGTCAAAATTAATGCATACGGCTTCATCTAACTTTGTCCATTTTACAGTCACAGTTCTATTGCTAAATATTTATACTAAAATTCAATTGCTAAATATTAACAATGCTAATCAGATACTTCCAGAATTGATGTTATAAAACAGATTGTGTGTTCATTCATCCATGTATTAACTTTCAAAGTATTTTGTATGTACATACTACTGTAGCACTACACAGATGCATCCCTAATTTTATGTAGTTTATGGTTGTCACCTGGGGATAGGCATCTTAGCTGCTGAATGGGGTTGACTTTAAATTGACTTGTATAATTTTATGGATTTGGATGTTTGGGGTTTTTTTATTGTAACACTGCAGGAAAGATTGGAAAAAATCAACGATGCTCTTCGCAGTGAGTACGAGTGTCGCCGACGTATGTTAATGAAGAGGCTAGATGTAACAGTACAGTCTTTTGGCTGGTCTGATAGAGCAAAGGTAAGCTTGCTGTATTTTTTGCTTCCTGTAGGTGGGAGTCTACTACAATTCCCCAGGTCTTGCTACCAAATATTGTACATACCATGTAAATAGACTTCCGTTACTGTTGTCTCCTTTCCAACCAGTTTCTCATTCTGGGTTGTAACATCCAAATCCTAGATATTGAAGAAGTGGAAGGATTTGACCAGATGGCACAGTCCATCCTTTGTGACTGTTTGTGACTTCTCAATTATAATTCTAGCATCCTCTGTTGGGGTTTCTCACTTTAATAAGTTCACATCTCCCCTTTTTCTTTCCCATGTCCACCCCCCTCCAGTCAAGTAAAGTAGGAAGGAACCTCAGATTTTTCATGCAGATGCAAGAGGAAGACAAACACTGGGCCTTAACATAGATTGGGTGCAAAGAGTGACTGCCCATAAAGTCAGTGAGATTACAGTGACTGCTACCTATCTTGGATTCAAAGCTACTGAATCAACAGATGGTCAGTTGAACAGGTTATTTGAATAGCAGCTTGTATGAGAAGAGCACACAATTACTTGTAATGCTTCAGATGGCTAAAAATTCCAAACCACTGCTGGATTTTCTCTGCTGGTATAATTTTAATTGTGATCATTTCATTTGTATTATTTCCTAGCGCTCTGTATATTAAAAAATAGTCATGATTTAACCAGTCTGATATTTTTGAGCTAGAAATATATATTGTTTCTGTCCAAGAGAGCAGGGAGGTAAGATACAAAAAGTTTGTAATTTGATGAATATACATGTGGGAAGCTGGAGGCAGATGTTTTTGCTCATGAGCTGCAGGATCAACTTTCCTTCCAAAGGTTTGTGTAGAAAGCTTAACATTGATAAGTCTTAAGACTTCAAAAGCTTACTGAAAGTATAGATTGATACAAGTCTTTCTGGTGTCACAATTTGTCATTGACACACACAGGCAGAATCGGTTTCATGAAGCTCACTAAGTATCACTGGAAGACGTGAGTCTAGATGCTGCTGTGCTGCTTTGGAATGGCTCACCATTTAATTTCGGCAGGGATTGGGAATGCTTTTGTGCTGCAGGAAAGGCAAAGGAGGGCATTTAGCTCACAGAATCCAGGAGATGTCCCTTCGTGTATTAACTTCTTTATAGCTGTACCAGTGTAACTATGTATTTTCAAATTCAAAGTATACTTCTAAAATGTAGTTGACGTTAACTGATGACTAACTTAGACTAAAATTCTAAGTTATGTGATATTCCATTCAAACAACGTGAAAAACAATGAATACACTTTCACAATAGAACAATAAAATGATTTTTAATGATGATAAATTAGTAAGATGATTCATTTTCCTGTCTTGTAAAGACCGTTGATGTGACGTAGTATGAGGTACAGAAATAACCACGATACATATTAATTCAAAATTACATATGACTTTTAATCTTTTTTTCTTTGTTTATCTTGTAGAAATATTTGTTTATAACATCTCCAAGAAGGTTTTGGGGATTGAAAATGTTTTGGCATTGAGAATTTAGATTCTTTATTTTATTAAGCCAAGAGGAAAATTTTTGTACTTTTTTAATTTATTTGTTAGCTTGCCTTTTTTTCCCCACCATTAAATAGACATTGATACCTTTCTCTGCTTTTGATGGTGTGGCATTTTTTGTGTGGTGGTTTTTTTGTTGTTTTTGTTTGGTTGTTTTTTTTTTTTTAACTTGTTCAGTCCCCAAGAGGGGTAAGGTTCCAGACTGAAATGGATCCATAAATGGTGTAGTAATTGCCTGGCAAAACAGTCATGTAAAGGAACAGCACCTGTTGTCTGGTCCATCCAAGATCAAATTTTTTTTTACTCTGAAGATCATTCTAGATGTTCCCAGAAAGTGTATTTATTTTTCCTTTTGTTAAACAAATGAAACATCGAATGTGCTTGGAAAAAAATCTTATTTTCTCTCCTTCTCAGTCTCACTTTTTCATGGCTTTCCCAAGTGTGTTGCTGCATTGATATTTCATGCCCCCCTTGTGCCCCCCCCCCCCAAAATTGGCCTTACTTTGAAGCTGCTCTGTTTCCATCGTGTTTAGAAGTGATCTGTTAAACATGGCTATGTAAAGCTCTTCAGAGAGCAGTTTGGACTCTTAAATTTTAGTCTTTAGATATGTTGGAAAATGTCAAAGAATCTGTTTGATGCCAGTGGATAGGAGAGTTTTGTAATCGTGCTAAGTTTCAGCATCAATTAAACAAAATCAGCATTTTTTTGTACCATAGCTCCATCAGTGTGAAGAGAATTGGTAACAACTGGCACTATATTTTTGTAAGGTAACCTAGATTTTCAGACATTACACCCTGTGTTCAAATTGAAACTTACTGAGACCAAATACATGGCTTACAGTAAGTGTGTTTGTGTGTTTTATGCCTAGCAAGTAATTTGTGTTTGATTTTATCATTTAGGTAAAAACAGATGACATAGCACGAATTTATCAGCCTAAGCGCTATGCATTATCTCCAAAGTCAACTATTACTTTAGCTCACCTTCTTGCTGCTCGGGAAGATTTGTCAAAGATCATAAGAACAAGTAGTGGATCAACACGGGAAAATACAGTCTGTGCGATCAACAAGGTATACTTTTTTCTTTCTGGAATTGGTAAAAGGACATGGGAGTTTACAGACCTATCAAAAGTAGTTCTGGAATTACACTCTTTGCCTAATATTTTAATTTCTTTTTGCAAGATACCTGGTGCTTTAAGAAAGGAAGGTTTGCAGCATTCCAGTAAACATTGCAGCAACTTCTTTTTTTATCTTATTATGCAGTCAGTCATGCAACAGGATGAAACAGTCTAGATGAGAAGGAACAGCGGTGGAAGGGTGTATGTGTGCGCGTGTGTGTGTAAATGACCTCTTGAGTTTAGTGGAACTGCACACCGCAGTTAAGGATGGTGTAAGTCTTTCTGGTATCAGTTCCTGGGCTACCTGTTGGCCAGGATTATGTTGTTCAGTTCGTAAACCAGCATCTTTAGTTTATCATCATACTATAAATCACAAAAGTTTTTGTGGAAGTGTCATTTTGCTGCAAAGTAAAATTACTTGGTTTGGCTACAGTAATAAATCAACATTGTACTGCTTTCTTGTGTATGATAAAAGCTGAAGCTTGCAAGTAATGACATTAGTTTCACCATTCAAATGGTGATTAAGCCTGTTTCTATTAATCCTTTATTTACAGATTTTTTCTGAAGTTTTGTGCCTCATTTAGATACCCTTTAATATGTTTTGATCCCAAAGATTCTGAAATTTCTTAATTATTGTAGTATCTCAGAAAGTTTTTCTTCTTGAGAGGACTTTAATTGGGACTGGCCAGAGTATGTTAACATTCATCACACAGAATGTTTAGGAAGTACAAAAACAACATTAAAAGACCTACTTGAATACCTCTTTGTTCTTCAATTTAATGTTTTGTGTAACTTTTTCCAGTACAGTCTCCCTTTTTGTAAACTGAGTAATATTCACCAAAGTCAAGATCCCTTTTTTTTTTCTTTTCTTGAAAGTGCCCCTGCAGCATGTTATGTATTTTGTCCGTTCCAGCTCTCTACTGAGTGTCAATAATTTCTAATCTAAAGCAAACTGGCGTTCCTTTTAGAGTTGCACATCAGTTTGCCAGTGTATAAAAAACATACACCAGATGATTAGGTTTGAACTTGAACTTTGAAATTTAAGTAGAAGAGCTGCATCATAAGGAGTCTTTTCTATATGAATATATGTTTATATATTTGCATATATTGTATGAGTTATGTATGTTGCTTATTGTAATCCTAATACTTCACATGCATGTAGTTTTCTTCATAAAGATTTCATAAAAGTAATATGAGCTATCTAGCTGCAGTTATTTCAGTTTTACAGGTGGGAAATATGATCACTTTCAGAGTTCTGTTGTGTCGTGTCAAGTTACAAGGACAGGAAATAGGGATTCTGCTGTTAAGCTCCACACTGAGGGGACCATATTTCCTGTAAAGAGCAGACAGCATGTCTTTGTCCATAGGAGAAGAACTCTGTGTCCCTTCAAGTTGTTATTACTAATTTTTTTAAACTAAAAATGACCTATTTTTCCATATAGGTTCTGATGGGGAGAGTGCCTGACCGTGGAGGCAGACCAACAGAGATTGAACCACCTCCTCCCGAAATGCCTCCTTGGCAAAAAAGACAAGAAGGTGGTGGAAGAGGCGGCTGGGGAGGTGGTGGTGGTGGTGGAAGGGGCAACTGGGGGGGTGGAGGGGGTAGAGGAGGAGGAGGTGGTGGTGGTGGTTTTGGAGGTGGGGGTTTCAGAGGTGGTGGAAGAGGAGGAGGTGGCTTCCAAGGTGGCAGGGGAGATTATGGTGGCAGGGGAGGTTATGGTGGCAGGGGGGGCTATGGTGATCCTTATGGTGGAAGAGGAGGGGGAGGATACCGAAGATACTGACATACTGTAAATATTAACAGAGTAACTGGCAAAATATAGTGGTGGTGTTTACTGACATCAGGAATTTAGGTATGTTAACTTGGGTTTAGGTTAGTGTTAAGTATGACCGTATGAATCAATGCATTAGACCAACTGATGTTGTCACTGAATTCTTTTAGTTAACAGAACTTTTGTACTAAAATGTGATGACTAAAGTCCTTGTTTTTCGTACTGCTCATATGGTGGTTTTTTAATATGTCATTTTATTTAAAATAAGCCTCAGAAAACTGAATAAAACCCTTTCTAAAGAAACAAAAAAATATATTATTTAACGTTCAGGCCTCTCTAATTATTGCATGTTGCATGTCCACTCCCCTGCTCCAAAATGCTGTGTAGAAAAAACAAAATAGGCCTAAGAAGCAGATGGAAACACTTTTAAAAGACTCTAGAATGCTGCTTTCAGGCTTTTTCTCTTCATCTAGTTTTCATGTGGGACGTGTAAACGAATTTTAATGTCAGATGTTAAAGTCCTTAAGGCTTTGGTCAAAATTATTCAATTAGGTTTCTTATTCTTCCAGAACATCACATAAAAGTAACATTCTGAATTAATACTCCACAGAAACTAATAGAATCAGGTTGTTTTGTGTGTTCATAAATATATCGGAGATATTTGAAGGTCAGAGTGTGTACCATAAACTCAGAATCGTGGTGAGTTTTGGTAGTGTCTATCTTCATTTTACCTGTTTTCCATTTTATTGATGTTTCATAGAAATATTTTAAGATCAGATTGGGCAGGAAACTTCTGCAGCCATCATGTTTGGTAAGAGTTCATTTAGATATTCCTTCTGAATCAGCCTTGAGACATAAAGGTTGAGTAAGCTGAGCTTCTTGAGAAAGAACATACCACTTCTTCCCCCCCTCCCCCTTTTTTTTTTTCTTCCCCTGCCTGCTCTGTGTTTGGGAATTGCCACCTGCCCAGCTAGTAGGACATCTCATACAGCAGTTGCCCTTCCTCAGTGACTTCTCTCTCTCCTACTCTGCCAACCAGTCGGTCTGATAACCTAAAAGAAAATCCATCTTGATGTGGTATGGGTGCCGCCTTCACAGACAGTGTTGCTCTAGAAGGAGGAGTTAGCTTTCATACAATTCTGGCTGTAAATACATGTAGACAAGAATTAAATTTAGAGCTGTCAGTTAAAGACGACAGTTTCTGTTGTCCAGCGTCTTTTATATCTCGTCCCCTGCTGTGAGGCCACTCCTAAGTACAGAGGTGGAAAAGGGAGATGATGCCCAAGTATATATTCATGACAGTATTTATCAGGACCAGGTTACTACAGAGAGATTTGGGAAGGCATCTGATAAACCTGGGGTTGTCTGTTGATTGCATAGCACAGAAACCTTGAAGCACTTTAATTTGAGTATGTAGCTGTAGGCTTAGCTGCAGGTTGAACTTTAGGATTTGATTTTGGTTTTATGTTCCACAGCTATGAGTTCTTTCTGCACAAATTTCCTATAGGTGTCCATATCTGGTATGCTTTAAAGATGTTATTTTGCCTTCAAGAACATGTGCATCATGTCCTGTTTCATAGGCAGCTTTATGCATTAATCTAAAGCTCTGTTGAAAATCAAATTATTAACTCTTTCAAAAGCCTGTGTCAGATTTTGTTAATTAGCCATCACCAACCTTTTAATTTGAAGTTTTTGTGGATTAAAATTTCAAAAGTTTCTCTCCTGTTATTTCCTCTCTGATCATAGTCTGCTTGAGAATGCTGCTTGCGATGTGATAGATACAGCCTTACCCATACTTTAGAGTCCCAGCAGGTGCCTAACAAAAAAGGGCAGGAGTTTTCCGTGCTTGAACATGTTAGCTTGGATGTGAACTCTTAAAATAATGGCTTAACTTCACCCAACTGCTAGTAATATAGTTCCTTTGCCAGTTTTTTTCTCTACAGTCCTTTCTGGCCTAAGCTGTTGTCAGCCTCTGCAGCCATTATGGAGAGGCCCTCATGGGTCCCGTGGGAGCTTAGTACTGGTTTTGTTGCTTTTGAGCTTGTTTTTTTGCATAATGCTTTGGAATAGCTCACAAACTGATGACATATCAAGTGAGACTGCTGGCCTCAGAGGTGAAGTGTTGGTCAGCAAAGGAGAAAATGGAGAGAATAGTTTTTAACAACCAAAGCCTTAATATAAAATTCTGTTTGCTCATCCCAATGTTATTTTTTGCTACCAGTAATTCCCAAACAGCAGTCTAGCATTTAGCTTCACCAAGTAAATACGCTAGGAAAATCAAATGGCTTATCTATGCATAAAGATTTCATCAGTCTTAAGATGTGAAGTTGCACTGGTTTAGTTGAACTGTTGTTAACTGTGTATGTGGATCCATCTCACTGCTTTTACACTCATCAGTTTATGCTGTTTGTAGCAGGCAGGACAGTTCTCAATGAAGTAAACCATCAAGTGAACCAGCTATGTGCCCACATGTAATTCTAACAGTTAAATTATTTCAATATAATATTTCAGTTATACTTACGTAGACCATGTAAAAGATGGAAATTTCAGTAGGTTGGACATTTTGGGTTTTAATCTGGCCATTTCAGTTTTTCTTAAATAATTAAAAAATGTGAAACCAGTAGTTGAAAACAAAAGTAAGCACCACCACATTTCATAGAGGTATCCTTTTCTGTCCTCTGTTGTCTGTTGCTTTTAATTTATCAAAAGATGCAATAATACCATGAAAATAATTGATTTAAACCTCTTTCAAATTTTGTATGTTTGTCTTGAAAAAAAGTATTTTCAAAAATTCTGTTGTAAGTAAAAGATTTTCATATATATGTTTGTGAGCATTTTGTGTTTATTCACACTTGTTTTGTTTGATAAAGAATTGAAAAATAGGTTGGGGTTTTTTTCAGGATTTGAGAGAGACACTTTTGTTAACAGCTGTAAACACTGAGGAATAAAGTGCTGTATTTGAAGTTATTTGCATCACTTGTGTAGTGTGATTTGGATCCACTATCATATGTTCCTTCTGTGTAAGGAAGAATT